GACTTCGCGAAGTCTAAGTCAGCTGATGTCACTTAAAGTAGAATAGGCCCGTTTCTTGACTTGGTGTCTAATGGGCTGTACACGCATGACTTCTGGGCCTTTCTTGGTTATTTCAGCTGGGTTTCTTTCTCTGTTTGTGTCTTTGTGCTGAGATGTTCCCTCGCTTGCTTTTTTTACGCGGGGCAAAAAGGTGTTGACCAAAATAGTAGAGGCCCAGAATAGAGACACAAAAGTACAGGACAAGTGCTCTCGGCCAAGGATTTTTTTTATTGCGTTGTGATTTTTCTGGACGCTACTCCTTCTTGCAGCGCACTAGAAGGGCTACTAGCGTATCGTTAGCTCTTTGTATGATTTTCCGGCGTGTAGTTTTCTGTTCGTTTTTCTTGGTTTTCCTGTTTTATGTTTTCCTTTTGTTTGTTCAAAATGCATTTTTTATTTTTCTTTTTCATTTTCATTTCCATGTTCACTAAAAAAACAAATTAAGTGCTTGTTTACATTTGTCGCGATATTCACAAAAAGTGTTTCTGTATTTCAAAATCTTCATTGTGCATTGAATAATTGCAAAAAATGTTCAATAAAATTTAAAAAACATTTTCCATATATTTAAAGAATGTAAAATAAAAATAAAAATGTGCAATGTATATTTGGAAAAATAATGAAATTTAGGGAGTGGCTAGTTACAGGATTTGTACACCTTATAATTGTGTTTGATGTTACGTCGTGCGTTTGTAATTGAGATATGGCGTGTGCATTAGTTTTTTTCTTGATAAAACCCGGGAAAACACCACTAAATTGTAGTCGTGTTGAAGACATGTAGTTGGAGTCTGAAACGACACCTGCAGTTGTGTGCCTAGTGATAGACATGCAATTGCCTCCTCCACCTCTACAAACACCACTAAGTTGTAGTCGGGGGCGACACTTACAGTTGCAAGCCTAGTGTCGGGCATGCAACTGCCCCCTTCTCTCACGCCGGCCTCCAGCAAAAACACAAGGCCACTTGCAGCCACGAGGGAGACATGAAGTTGTAGTTGAGGGCGACACTTGCAGTTGCAAGCCTAGTGTCGAGCATTCAACTCCCCCCTCCTCTCCCACCGGCTTTTGACAAAAATACAAGGACAGTTGCAGTCATCAGGGAGCATGCAATTGCAGTCGCGGGGCACACTTGCAGTTGCAAGCCTAGTGTGGGGCACAGAACTGCCCCCTCTCCCACTACCCACCGACAAAACAAAATGTCAGTTGTGGTCGGGTGTGTCGACATGCAATTGCAGACAGGGTGACACTTGCAGTTTCATGCTTAGTGTTAGACATGCAACTCCCCCCCGGTCTCCCATGGACCATCGACAAATCAAAAAGGTCAGTTGCAATCGGGTGTGTAGGCATGCCATTGCAGTCGAGGGCCACACTTGTAGTTGCAAGCCTGGTGTCGGGCATGCAAATGTCCCCTTTCACACCTCCCACTGACCACATAAAAGTTTAGCGGTTGAGTGTATAGGCATGCAATTGTAGTCTAGGGAAGATACATGCAGTTGCAACCCTAGTGTTAGACATGTAACTGGCCCCCTCTCCGGCACCCACCAACAAAACAAAAGGTCAGTTGCCGTTGGTCTGTAGACATGCAGTTGCAGTCAAGGGTGACACTTGCAGTTGCAAGCCTAGTGTTGGGCATGCAATTGCCCGCCTCATTTCCCGTCGGCATCCTATAAAAACATAGTGCCAGTTGCAGTTGGGAGGGAGTCATGCAATTGTAGTTAAGGGCGACACTTGCGGTTGCAAGCCTAGTGTCGGCCATGCAAAATGAAAAGTCGAGTTGCAATCAAGTTATAAGACATGGAGTTATGACCATGCTAGAAGACATGTAGTTGCGTGCCTACATTTGAGCATGCGACTGCCCCCCCCAACAAAACGAAGGTCCTCAGTTGCGACCAAGTTAGGGGACATGCAGTTGTGTGCCTAGTGTGGGATATGCAACTGGCCCCCTCAACCCGTACAACATAAAATGAAAAAGTCAAGTTGCAACCAAGTTATAAGACATGCAGTAGCGACCATGCTAGAAGACATGGAGTTGCGTGCCTATGGTTGAGCTTGCAAACTGGCCGCCTCTCTCTCGATGCCGCCCCTCCGACAAAAACAAAGGTCCCAAGTTGCGACCAAGTTAGAAGACATGCAGCTTCGTTCATGCCTAGTGTGGGACATGCAACTGGCCCCTCTCCCATTGCAACAAAAATGAAATTCGAGTTGCAAACAAGTTATAAGACATGTAGTTGCGACTATGTGGAAAGAATTGCAATCCCGTGCGTACGGTTGATCATGCCACCACCCCCCCTCTCTCTCAACACCGCCCACTCCGACAAAACGAAGGTCCCGAGTTGCGACCTAGTTCGGAGACATGCGGTTGCGTGCCTAGTGTGGGACATGTAACTGGCCTCTCTCCCCGTACAACAAAAATGAAAGTCGGAGTTGCAACCAAGTTATAAAAGACACGCAGTTGCGACCATGCTGGAAGACTGCAGTTCCATGCCTAGTGTGCAACATGCAACTAACCCTTCTCCCCATACAACAAAAAATGGATACATTTGTGAATCAAAAGTTTCGAATAAGTAAGGCCTAAAGGAGAGTACTTATACAAATGGACATCCATAAACTTCTCACTACAGTTCATGCAATTGACACTCAACTACTCATGTCATGAAGTTTTCACCTTCTTTTATCCTTTTTTTGCAAGAAGAAACACAACATAAACATAGTGCCTACTCACATAATGAAAGATGCTAAAACAATTCCCGAATGACTTGCCCAACACTTATCGTATGCTTGGCTATCAAATGCTATATATGTAGTCACACATCTACTCACACGCCTTAGGAATTAGGATGTTAAAGGTCCAATGCTTATGAGTTTAGATAGTTTTCCTTTCATATTAGTTTCAATCTATGGAATACTCTGAGATATTGGAAGAAAGCAAAAGACCATGGTAAGCATTTACTGTACTACTAGCATCATAATACTCACACATTTGGACGAGCCATTTCTACATGGAACTCCACTGGAAAAATTAGGCAATGATTTTGTACAATTATTGTTCTTGCGAGCCTAATGGATTTTTGTTCGGTTCCTATCAGATTCAAACCACATCAAGGATCTC